TTTGCAATGGGGGAAGAAAACTTTGATTACAACTGTATTTTACAGTAATTTACATTACATTTATTTATTTAGCTGACGCTTTTATCCAAAGCGTCTTACAATTGCTATATATTTCAGAGGTCGCACACCTCTAGGGCAGCTAGGGGTTAAGTGTCTTGCTCAGGGACACATTGGTGTCTCATAGTGGATTCGAACCCGGGTCTCTCACACCGAAGGCACGTGTCTTATCCCCTGCACCATCACCACCATTTATAGTAATATAAATAAACATGTAATCATTTCTCCATTTATGAACGAAGCAACTGCGCATGGGCTGAGATTTTTTCCTCTCATTAAAGGATATGCGATCCTGATCGCAAAGTTTAGGGTTCATTTAAACAGATCTTTCAGAATCTGAATATGGAGTCATATGGACTGGTGATAAGTGCATGCAAACATATTGATAGATAAAGACAAATGGAAAGTACAATTAAAATTTTTACATTTCATTCTTTTGACAGTTTCAAATTAATTCTGCAATGAATCACAACATGACTGTTTTTGAAGCAATGAACAAAACGAGGTACAATTCATAGTTGTTGTTTTGCTACTTAATTTCAAACAGTCAAACCAAAACTTAACATGTTAAAACATTGTTCTCATCTCACTGTATTTTACCATGGTAGTAAGTTTGCTTTGTTTAAAGTGAACTGGAATGAAAGTTTCCGCTCATAGAGTGAAATGACCTGTAGGTCATCTTTATTTATCCACACAGTTACACAGTAAGACTGAGTCTGTCATTAACCAAGACTGTGCATTTTGTTTTGTCTGGGAGAGAAAGAGCTAATATAACAGATTACAAGTAGGGCTGGGCGATATATCGAATATGTACGATGTATCGTTATATTTTTTTGAAACGATATGGAATGAGGCAATACCGTTTATATCGATACAGTAGTTTGATATGAGCACATCTGAAAAATAGCGGAGGTTGCAGTGTGAGCTGCTGCAGTGAAAGTAGCTAGGCTACGTAGAACAATTTGTCCTAAACATGACACAAGCTTATATTAATTGCGTCAAAATCACTTTGATATAGTTAACAAGTTTAAGGCAGCTTGCCGCCCTGTCAAATGCTCTGACAGACACTGTTGCTGACTGACAGATATACTTGCGCTGTTTAATGCGTTTGAGATGTGCTTTCCTCAGTGCTCAACTTACATTTCACATATTCTCCATCTGTAAATGTTAGAAAGTAAAGCAAATATGTCCATTTCACAACAAATATGTCCATGTCAGAAGAGGACGAGCTTCTGCAAGTGAATCTCCGCTAAAATTCATGCTTCCTTGAACGAGCGCCGGCGCGCGCATGCGCGTGAATAGTACTACGTAGTACGCAATAATTCTGACTAAAATAAACATATTGCTAAAATATTTGTTGTTGGAGAAAATAAATGTGCCATATGTGGAATTTTAAACCTACAAGTATATATTTTTAATGAAAGTGAAAGTGATTATAGTGGGGTAATCAAATGCAGGCTAATATAATTAGTTTGTGCTTTTGTTTTTGTTTTTATTTTCATTTTTAGTTGAGCTTTTAGTCAATATAAAAACAAAAGCTTTTTGCACATAATATATTGCATAGCCTATAGTATATTTGTTTCCATATCCTTCAATATCAACATTGTTTGTAGGATATCATTGGGCCGAATGTGAATATATATATATATATATATATATATATATATATATATATATTTTTTTTTTTTTATTTTTTTAAATATAAAGATTTTCTTTATCTAAATAGAAAACGTAGAAAGTACCGAGATATATATCGTATATCGCCATTTGACCAAAAAATATCGAGATATGATTTTTTGGCCATATCGCCCAGCCCTAATTACAAGTAATGTGTATTTGTGAAACCTAATATAAACTTGACATCGAGCCAAAACTAAGCTGCTGGAAAGGGAGATCAAACAGAAATAAGAACCTAGACAGAATATGCACAAAACTAAAAACAAGTCATCGCCCAAGCACGAGTGATTTATCACAGAGAGACAAAATAGATCAAGACCATTTCAAATACACTGATTTAGAACATTTAAACAAGAGACGGCAACAGATACTGTACATAATTGGCCATGGATTTCCTCCCACACAAAACAAACTTTGAGAATACATTTCTCTCATTCTAGAAGCTGTTCAAACTGTAATTAAATTGCAAACCTTGATGAGCACATACTGTTCCTTGCCTTGGGAACAAGGCTGCTGAACCACCACATTCTTGCAGCTAAAGCTGTGGTCAAACATATTGCCATGTAACAACGAATATACTGTATAACTTGCACATGCCAGGCTTTAGACAGGAGTGCAGCGCAGAAGCAGCAAGGCGAACAATAGCAAAGGTCAGGCTGAGGTAATCCAGGTAACTCATGAGTCCAGAAAGAAACATAGCAGAAACAGAGGAGAACAACACAAGAATAGGAGAGGACATAAAAGGAGAGGAAGCCAAAATAAGGAGCGGGAAACATTTTGCCCAGGAACAATCAGTGCTTCGCCAAGGTTAATTAGTCTGCAGAGGCAACACCACCATTTTCCTCATTCCCCCAATCACCCAAACTCAGCATTTATGTGTTAAAAGTTAAAGCAACTCTATGCACTAAGGCGAACAAAAGGTTATGATGCAAACCAAGATGATTGGTGCAACTCTGCAAGTGAAAAGTGTTCTCTTACAAAATAAATTATAAAACACATATCACATGCCAGAATTAAATATTAAGCCATAAAGAACTCAAGTCATTATATACACAGCAGTTCAAAAGTAAAATTGTACAACACTGCTTACAGCATACACTGTAAATAAATATTGTTGGTTTAACTTGAAAAAGTAAGTAACCTGGGTTGCCTTAAAATTTTAAGTTGATTGAACTAGAAAAAGTGAGTTAATACAATGAAGGAGATTCATTTAATCATCAGAAACTCAAAATAATAAGTTATCTCAACTAAATAAATTATTATAAAGTTGATTTTGACAAAAGAAAATATGTTGTGATAACAAATCTTGAAAATATTTTTTTTTACAGTGTAGTACAGTTAAAAAATTCCATAAAGGCTGGAATACATACATTAGGAACCATACATTTCCCGATTTAGTGAATAGTTCAAGAAAACTGAGCATCATACACTATCAGACAGACACTAGCAGACTTTCAAATCGTTCCGAATCTGAACAACAAATTCACGCATTAAACACGTGCCATGTTGCAAGGAGATGAATTTGTGACAAATAAAAACAATATGTTCGAAAATCAGCTCAATCGTCCAAATGGATGGAATCAATAATATGGAGCTATATATATATATATATATATATATATATATATATATATAAATAAAATAAAAAATTAGAGTCTGTGCCCATCATACACTGCACAATTTATGAAATCTGTCAATTCAAATCTGCAGACTTCAGTCTCTGATTTCAGCAACTATAAACTTGTTGGGTAAATCTGGGCAAATATTGTGTAATGTAGGCTATTCCTGCCTTAAAACTGCTTTTATTTTATTACAGATACAGTAAAACAGTAATCATTTGAATTACTGATTTGAAATAAATCCTTATTTGTTATTTGAATATATTTTAAAATGTAATTTATTCCTGTGATCAAAGTTGAATTTTCAGCATCATTACTCCAGTCTTCAGTGTCACATGATCCTTCAGAAATCAGTCTAATATGTTGATTTAGTGAGCAAGAAACATGTCTTACTATTATCAATGTAGAAAACATTGTCCTGCTTAATATATATTTTTGCAGGATTATTTGATGATTAAAACATTTAACAGAGCGTTTTTAAACAGCATTTATTTAAAATTGAAATCTTTTGCAATCTTTTTTTGCAATCTTTTACTGTCATGTTCGATCAATTTAAAACATCCTTTCTGAAAAATGAGATTGTTAAAAATTACTGAGCCTAAACCTTTGAACAGTAGGCAATATCACAGTTGTATAATTCATATTAAATCAATAATTCTGCATTTAATTAATTTTTAAATTAAATTTAAGTAAAAAGACAATAAAGACACCAATCAATGTATCAATAAAAGCATGTAATAACGCAAATGTAATAATAATACTTTTAGGAATTATTAATATTATAAGTATTATTAAGAGTCTTTCAAAACCCAAGGTCGCCTTAAAGAAACAGCTAGAAATTATAACAAGAACAAAAACACAAGAAACGTAATATGAACGCAGGTTTACGCATCACATTTGCTATACTACAAACTCCTTTTAGTTTTCACTTCAGATTGATCTGCTCTGGATAGACAAAGCCCTGCAAATCATAAATAAAAGATTACACAGCTACTGTATGTACACAAAGGTACAGACATTAAGTGGATCATTATTGCCTCTTCTGCATCAAACCTTGAATAATGTCATACGGGAAACATCAGTCCGTGTTACAGTATTATTAGTAGTAATCATTACTAATGCTTCAAAAACATAATTTAGCTCTAGAAACAGCTTGAATGTTTAATGAACAACATGACAGCGGACAATCTAATCCACATAGAAGATGTTATCTGGGAAGCACTTGATGTGTTCTCGGAGTTGTAATAATAGCGTGTTGAGTCTGAAAGCGGCTTGTGTTTTGAATGAAAGCGCTCGTCACCCTAGGCAGGCTGCCAAACGCATGCAGCCTCCAGTGACCAAGTGGCTACCTTTGGCCTTTCTTTTACGTTTTTTAATCCTTCTCGCTTTTTTTCTAAAACACTCGGCTCCCTCGTTTGCCTCCTCTTCCCCACCCCGTCTCTGCGTACCAAAAAGAAGACCGGAGCGCAGCCGGGATCCGGAGGACTGGAAATAACCTTCACATGGACACTGTTCAGCGCTATCACTCAAACACAGCACGGGCTGTGTCTGTAGCTGAGCTCTCTCTCTCTCTCTCTCACACACACACACACAAACACACACATCCATACATACACACACACATGTGCCGACTGAGAGGGTACGTACCACTCCGTGGACGAGGAACTCAAATAGTTTGCTCTTGGTGGCTTTGCGAGCTCCTCCAGCGGTCTCCTCTGAAGCCATTTCCCTCTGGTCTCCCTCCACTCTGGTTCTCCCTCTCTTTTGTCTTTCCCTCTCCCTCGCCTCTCTTCCTTTTCACCCTTCGCTCACCTCCTCAACCCCCCTCCGAGGCTCCCTGCTCCACTTCCCTTACTTTCTACTCGCTCTCTCTCTCTCTCTCTCCCTCTGTCTCGGAGTGTGTTGCCCTGTCGAGCCTCTCGGTCTCTCTGTCTCTCACGCTTGCGTTTGGTTGAGCTGCCTTTCAGGAGCCCAGCTGCTACAGAACGTGGGGGGTTGAGAGTTGGGGGTCTTTCAAGGGGGTTCCTGCTGGCCCACCATGACCGTCCCCCCTCCCCCTTTTACAAACACGCTGACTGAAAGCACACACGCTCACAGGCTGCTGCAGCTGTTGCATTCCATTGGTAGATAAGGGAATGCTCGCTGACTGGTCGCTCGCAGCCCTGCTGCGGTGTAGTTAGTCTCGCCGCTAACCAAACCCCTCCTTCTCTGCCTTCACTACTGCTCTCGCTCGCTCTCCTGTCCTTTGCTGCATGCAGTCAAACCCAGCAAGGCTTGGACTGCTCATTCTCAAAAAAAATGGAGGGAGGATCCTTAAAGCAGCAGCAGTGAGGATGGAAAAGCTGCCCGTGTTTAGACACAGGTCGGAAATAAAACTGGTTCAGACAGCATTGAAGGCTGATTTTTTAGCTTGTTCCTGGCTGTCTATCTCAAATAAATATGAATACTTGAAATGATTACTCATTTTTGCGAGAGACATGTCAGTCAGAGATGGATTTTAGTTATATTGATGGATTATGCTGTGAACATTGTGGGTTTTGAAGTCATTTCTTACCAACAATGATAATGAACAGTAATAAATAAATTAAAATCAACATGCAGGGACAATTTAGATTAGGTACATTAAGTAGTTGCTTAGTAGCATGCATATTACTAGCATATTGGCCATTTATTAGTACCTAAACACATATTAATGCATTAATGCAGGTCTGCATGACCTTATTCTAAATCCCTTAAAGCTGCAGTCCATAGTTTTTCCTCTTTGTCGCCATCTCTGTTCTAAATCTGCAATTGCAGTCATTCGCGGAATTATCAACTTTACGTGAGTTGTAGTTCGACATGGCCCAACGCGGATGAACAATGTTTGAGGAGAGTGTGCAGCTGTCAATCACCGCGCCGGTGTCGATACTGGCATACAGAATCAAAGATTTTTCTTTTTGGAAATATGACCAACATAAGAATTTTCACTGGAAAATGTCATCTGAACAAGTAAGAAACATCCACTTTTGTTCTGGTTCTGACATTGCAGTAAATCACGCTGATTGAATCTTACAATCGCCTATAAGTTATCATATCACGCAAAACCGTGCAAATTATACTTCATTCTGAAATTGTTAAATGTTAACAACGTCAGCATTGCGTGACTACATTTAATGTCATTCCGACATGTATCCTTGTTTTCACATGGTCTGGTTGCAGTCTCTACTAGATAAGTCCAAACGAAGTCTTTAGCATTTTACAGCGGGTGAATCTCTAGTTGTCACTGGTGATTGTCGTTTGAACCTTTCTGGATCCGCCATCAAATTGATAAGTTTAAGTTTTATTTTTTTAACTATATCAAGTGCTGTGAGAAAAGGCTATAAATCTCCACCTCCAACATCCTCACACGCAATATAGCTTATACTAGACGAGGCTCCTTCTTTATGTGTGTACAGATGTGACGTAATGATGCAAAGACATGCTCGAATCTCACATGGAAATCCACTAGTACCACTGGAGTTAAAAACATTATTACAAGCTTACCGCTTTGAATCGAGCGAAGGCAAGCAGATAGTTTTCAACACTGGCTGGTTATGAATTTTCTCAACTATGTATTTTGGAAAGATTTGAACCCCAAAAAAGCTACGGACTGCAGCTTTAACCCTACCCAATTAACATAACTTAACTCCTAGTGAACATATACCCTAATCTAGTGTGACCAAAAATACCAAAAGAATGTATATATATCCCCACCCCCCACATCTTATTATCTCTCTTGTTTTTGTTTGTTTGTTTCAAGAAAAATTACTTCTAATTCTTCTAAATCTGTTTCTGGGTTTTATACAACCGTTTCAACCTTTATTAATTTTTTAAAGGGGGGGGGGGGTTGATTGCGATTGATTTGCAATTAGTGTGTAATGTTGCTGTTGGTGCATAAACAGTATCTGCAAAGTTGCAGCGCTGAAAGTTCAGTGTAAGCAAAGATATCGTCTTTTAAAAATCAGGAAGTATATTGCCTAAAAATGACTCGATTGGGACTACACCTGGGTTTTAGACGTCACGTCACTAACCCACACATTTACATCAACCCTCCCTCCCTCCCTCCCTCCGGAAAATGCAAAAAAGGGCATGCGCATATTTCTGCTGTTCAACACTGGATTCAACAAGAAACTGTTACTAAAACATGAAGCATTTCCAACTTTAAAACCAGAGGCAGCAGTTGTTGGGCCACAACCTGTAAGTAGGCTAAGACCTAATCATTTTAAATGTATTTGCATGTATAATTCCAGACGTAGCCTTGTGTTTTATTTTTTTCAAATGCCAAAAAAAAAGCAGTCAACCCCCCCTTTAAATAATTTTTGTTGCTAATTTGATGAGTCAGTTCCTCAAATGTCTACTCACCTGATTTTCCCTGTAATTGCAAATCTAAGCTGTCTACTGTAAATATTTGTTTAGGATGCCTAAATTAAAATACATCCCTATACAATTCAATGTTTTTGTTTTTTTTATTAATGTCTAAGCTATCTTAATAACTAGGCCTATATGCACGGGTCAGAGAGGAGCTAATGACATTGAACCACACTATGCGAGTAGACTAGCATGTGAATGATCAAGCCAGTTATAACAAATATTAACCATATTTTCCCTGTTTCAATGTTTCTAGGAAATGTTCTGAACTGGGAATCAACTGTTTCTAGGTACATTTTGCCAGTATTTGGTCACTGGAAAGTAGACCTAATTATATTTACTTTTAGTTATTATTCAGCACTTCTAATAAGTCGAATAAGACAAGACTTCTAATAAGACAAAACTTCAAACACTGAATAACAGATTTTTGATTTTGAGAAATGTCTCCCTGTATTTTTACAAATTCAAAAACGAATTTTTGTTTAAAGGATTTATCAATTTGTGGAACATACAATAAGATATTTTGAAGACAGCCTCATGGTTCATACACTAAAGTCAACAGAGGTGTAAAGTCCAGGTTAAGAAAGAAAAAGTAAGTCCTTCTCAGTATTTTGTTCCTGGATTTGCTAATTAGCACAGTTTTTCAGCCAGGAGATAGAACTAATTAGTGAAATCAGCTGGCTGAGTTCATGGGTGAAATTAACATATGGCAGGACTTTTACTTTCTGACCCCTGGACTTAACACCTCTGATCGGTGGGGTCCAAGATTTTTCTAAATATCATTGTGTTCCTCAGAAGAAAGAAAGTCAAATGGTTGTGTGCATCACTGTCAAAAAGCAAGAGTGGTGGTCTCATCTCATATAATGTTATCTCATGTACAATGGCAAAAATTGCAAAACTGCTATTAATAAAGTAAATCAATCAATCAATCAATCAATCAATCAATCAATCAATCAATCAATCAATCAATATACAGTGGGGCAAAAAAGTATTTATTCAGCCAGAAATTACACAAGTTATCCCACTTAAAATGAGAGAGCCTTGTCATTTTTCTCATATACATTTTTCTCATACACTATGAGAGACAAAATGAGAAGAAAAAAAAAATCCAGAAAATCACATTGTAGGATTTTTAATGAATTTATTTGCAAATTATGGTGGAAAATTAGTATTTGGTCAATAACAAAAAACTTTGTTACATAACCTTTGGTGGCAATGACAGAGGTCAAACGCTTCCTGTAAGTCTTCATCAAGTTTGCACACACTGTTGCTGGTATTTTGGCCCATTCCTCCATGCAGATCTCCCCTAGAGCAATGATGTTTCAGGGCTCTCGCTGGGCAACACGGACTTTCAACTCCCTCCAAAGACTTTGTATGGGGTTGAGATATGGAAACTGACTAGGCCACTCTTGGACCTTGAAATGCTTTTTACGAAGCCACTCCTTCATTGCCTGGGTGGTGTGTTTGGGATCATTGTCTTGCTGAAAGACCCAGCCACGCTTCATCTTCAATGCCCTTTCTGATGGAAGGAGGTTTTAACTCAAAATCTCATGATACATGGCCCTGTTTATTCTTTCCTTTACGCGGATCTGTCGTCCTGGTCCCTTTGCAGAAAAACAGCCCCAAAGCATGATGTTTTCTCCCCCACGCTTAACAGTAGGTATGGTGTTCTTTGGATACAACTCAGTATTCTTCTTCCTCCAAACACGGCAATTTGAGTTTTTATCAAAAAGTTCTATTTTTTGGCTTCATCTGACCATATGACATCTTCTTCTGGATCATCCAAATGCTCTCTGGCAAACTTCAGATGGGCCTGGACACGTACTGGCTTAAGCAGGGGGACACGCCTGGCAATGCAGAATTTAAGTCCCTCTCGGTGTAGTGTGTTACTGATGGTAGCCTTTGTTACTTTGGTCCCAGCTCTCTGCATGTCATTCACTAGGTCCCCCATGTGGTTCTGGAATTTTTGCTCACCATTCTTGTGATCCTTTTGACCCCATGGGGGGATATTTCCTAATAATTGCTCCCACAGTTGATTTCTTCACACCAAGCTGCTTACCTATTACAGCTTCAGTCTTCCAAGCCTAGTGCAGGTCTACAATTTTGTTTCTGGTGTCCTTTGACAGCTCTTTGGTCTTGGCCATTCACTTTGTTCACCTGGCGGCCATTTTGAAAACGCTGTTGAGGGGTACACAAACCCGGAAGTTTGACTCCGACGCAGCAGCACCAGCAATGGAAACTCCAGTGTGTACCACCAATCTTTCCTATCTGCCCGAATTAACGATGCAAAATGTGAAGCAGTGAGCCAGTACTGACTGCAACATCCCCCGGGCTGTGTTAATTAAGGGATACAGAAACTGGATCGAAGGTTTTATCCATAACATTGAAGAATGGACACCAAATAACCTCAGTTTTTGAGAGCTTGTAGCAGCTAGAGGTAGTAAGCTTAGCTGTGATATGGAGTTATTGACTGTGTACTATGTTAGATTAGAATCTCTACAAATCCTTAACCACCATTATTATTCTTCATGAATCTATACAAATATGTGAATTTGTATTGTTACCATAGCACCTTATCATGGTCAGTGTGTAACACGATCAGTCTCTGTCAGACCTTATAATCACTTCTCATGCTCTTTACTTTTACATATCTGTGAGTGATTTGCTTGTTTTACGTGTAAGTGTGTGTATATACTGTATAAGCTACTGGATGTGTATCTAAAGAATAAAGTACAATTGTATTACACATAGATGTCCTCCATACTTTTATAATGTAATATACCAGAACCAAAACAGGCCGAAATATCATTAAAAACAAAAAAAAAAAAAAAAAAAAAAAAA